CCATCCATGATCGGGACCGCCATATTTTTAGGTTCATAAGAAGCCTATTTGCCAAAGCTGTGTGGAAGAACCATGTAAATTTAGGCCAGCTCTAAAAAGCACGCTTATACTGTAAGTCACAATATGAGGTATTCTTTCTGGAACACCACAGGGATTAATAACCTATGTATTATAGCTATTCCTGTCTGTAAGAAACTCCTTGAACTAGAAAACAAAAGAATTTTTCATCAAAAAATGACATGTAGTTTGTAATATCAAGACATTCAATTTAAAAGGAATAATTAGGAAAATGAGGTTTAATGTCATTATGAATTCTAGATCGTAATAAAGATTACTAATAAAGTACTAAAAAATGTCAACCCAGGCAACCAATATTTTATAGCTCCCATGTTAAATAAGAATAGCTTTTCCAAAATTTCAAAGGCTCAAAGTGAACTACCAATTTAAATGTAACATCCAGTACCCAAGAAAGAAAGACACTGAAGGAGATTGTTCGTTTTCATCAATCTTTTGCCACATCCTATAATCCCTTTATTCTACTCACTTGTGTTGCCAATAGACAACGGAAGAAGAAACCAGGGATCGCAACTGAGCAGCACGGTGGATCATAAGACAGCGGAGACAGGTTGGGTTGCTCTGTGCTGTCACTGCAGCTTAACCTTCCCTTGTCTGATCCTGTGTGCCTGCCTCTCTCTCCTGCAACAAGGGCTTTTGACTCTGGTTTATTATTTTTAATCCTGTTATTTTAAAGTGGCTAGATTTCACCACATATGTTAATTAGTCAATGATTAGTTTCAATGACCATTCACAAGGCAGCTTGACAGGGGATAGATGTTCTTTCTGCTCTAAGTAGCCAGGTACCGGTCTGTGTCCTAAGCTCATTGGTTTACTCAATAAATATTTATTAGGTAGCAAGCATGTGCCCTTCCTGTACTTTACTCTGGACTGGGGATGAGCAGGTTATTGAAATACAAACCCCTCTCCTCATGTCGCTAACAGGATGGTAAGTAAGATGAAGAAGGGTATTGTGTCCTCTGGCTTAGGAAAAGGCTTATGAATACTGAGCATTTCAACATGATGACTGAGCTATCTGAGGAAAAATTAACTAAGTGAAAAATATAATGACAAGAACTTTTTAAGAAGGACAAAGAGAGAGAAGAAAGTACACAAATGGAAGCCCACATGGGAGTTCTAATGGCCTATTTACCAGGTTTGTGACTCTATACAAGTTGTGTAGTAACTTATTTGATTTTCTGAAATAATAATGACAATGTGACAAAGTTCTATTGTAAGAGAGAAATGAGGTAATACATATAAATTACTTAGAAAAGACCTACCACAAAGTGTTTTTTTTTTCCTATTTGTAATTTTATTTAGGGGGAAAGTTGTGATAAAATAATATTAAGCATTAGCTTTTGTAACACAGCTGGGGTTGTCATAAGACGCTATTATTTGAGTCTGATAGTCTTTGAGGCCTGGCAGCCACTAGAGACAGGCTAGAACATGTTCCTGGGTCTCAGAGACCAGGTGATATCTTTTCCTTTCCTTTTTCCTTTCCTATCTTTTCCTTTCCTTTCCCTTCCCTTTTTTTCCTTCCATTCATCCATCCTCTCTTCCTTTCTTTTTTTCTTTTGGTTTTCCTTGGCTGTCCTGGACTCCCTTTATAGACTAGGCTGGTCTGGAACTCACAGTGATCTGCCTGCCTCTGCCTCCCTGAGTGCTAGAGTTAAAAGGTGTGCAGCACCACACCCAGCTCCATTGGTATAACAAACATGTAGAATTTTGACAATGGTAGTACTTTGTTTTTGAAGTCTTGCTGACTTATATAAAAACCTTTTTTCTTTTTTTGTAAACTTCGAGGACATGAAGAGTGATAGATGACAAAATAGTAAGAAATCTTGGGTAGCGCTTTCTCCATTTCTAGGTAGTATAAATATTCAAGAGAATTTTTGAAAGATCCACCAATAGAAAGACAATTAATATTTTCATTTTTATCCACTTTTAAATCACTCACGGTCATTTATCAGGAATCCCTTTACTACTAAATACAACTAAAGAAATACATATTTCTTAAAAATCTCTCATTGCTTCAGAGCATGCTTAAGCTTTCTGTCAATGCACTTATATCAAAGAATATACTTGTATTTTCCTTTATGTAGAAGCATTTAATTTTAACAAAACTATTTTTCTTAAAGCTGCTGAGATACCCATGTGAATGTGGAATGCATAGGAAATAGGAGTGGAGGGAAGGTATATGGGGTATGTGGGAAAGAATTGTTCCTCTTCCTTCTCTATTTATCTATGTGGGGCATCTGTACGGTGCCTCTGCCCATATGGCCTGACGTGCACTGAGATCTCTTCTTATTCCACAGAAGAAACAAAGAGACAAGGCATAAAGATCAAGCCTAAGTCTTGTCTTAGCTGGATGACTCAAATACTGTATGGAAGTGGGAAAAGCACAGTACTCCCAGACCTCTGTTTGTAGGTGAGGCTAAAGAGAGTTTTCAGAACAACCATGAAGGTTTAAATGGTATGTTTTAAATACAGTCTTCTATCTATCTATTTATCTATCTATCTATCTATCTATCTATCTATCTATCTATCTATCTTATCTATCTAATCATCAATCATAACCATCATTATCATCACCATCATCATCATCATCATTAATCTACCCATTTCTTTTCTGTGTGAGCATATGATGCATATGAGGAAGCCTGTGGACAGCCTGAGGGAGTCTTTCTCTCATTCAACTGTAAGGGTTCTGGAGATTGAACTCAAGTCATCAGCCTTAGCAGAAAGTGTCTTTATTTGCTGAGCCATTCTGCTGGCTTCACAAATATGTTGAAAGAGTTTAAGAACATGGGACTATTGATATTGTGTGGCCTGCCATGAGCAGACATGATAAAGACCTCACTTTATTTTAACTACTTATTTTGCTCAAGTGAACTCAGTAACTATTGTAGAATGTCTTTTCTTCCCCCTTTTGTGTCTCAGTGTTTTGTACCTGTCACCTTTTAGGACTCAGATTCTGGAAAATATAATAGAAAAGCCTTCTGCTCTTCGCCAAGAAATAGAACCCTTAGTCGGATGTGAGTTTAAAAATGAAATAAAAATTTGCCCAGGACATTACAAGTGGCTACGAGGATGGCTACTTGTCTCATGCACAATTGTTTTCAGATGGGAACTAATTAGCTAAAAATTACAACAATGATTCTTTCATCAGGTTGGGTGCCTGGACACAAGAGGTGCAAGGCAATAAGCATTCTGCCTGCAGGGTTCTGAAGAGAGAATAGGAAGAATGTAAAGAAAATTGTATACACGGTTAAATTAATCACAGTTGTGAAAAGGAGATCAAACTAAGTCAACAAACCCAAAAGGAACAAGGCCTTTAACATTTCATAGACTCAGAAATATACATCCCCTCACACATACATCTACACCCACCCGTAAAGACACGTGTACATACACACTTTCCTAAGGCAGGGATTTCACAGCCTCGGCTCATTCGTTCAGATTTAAGAACTTTTATTTCATAGCGGTTTTGCTTTTTACTCTTATGCTAGAAGTGTTAAAGGAAGATGGTTCTCTCTTCTGGTTGTGAGACCCTTTCAAGTATTGGTAACCACTTCCAAATAAGATTAGTGTCCATTCTTAACACATAGTATGCAGCATTAATACGGCCTCAGGTTTCTTGCCTTGAATCCATATAAAATTACTGCTGATCTTTCAGCAAAAATAACATATTTTTTTTCCTACAAAGCATTAGCAATTGTCTTGAAAAGATGCAAGTATTTTCAGAATCCTGGTGAAAATGATCTAACAAACTGACAGGAGAGGTCCACTTACAAATGTCAAAACATACAGCCAATAGGAAAGAAGACAACATATAAGTAGACAGCTGAGGATGAGAGAAAGCACATCTGACAGGGGACTTAAATTTTAAATGCAAAACACACTGAAACTAATAATAACAGAACACCCCCCAAAACCCAATTAAAATTAGCAAAAGAATAGAAATAGGTAGTCTAGATATGACCTACAAATAGCCAATGTGTCTCTTGCTTATATGAAAAATGCTCAGTGTCACTAATCTTCATGAAAATGCAAGTAAAATCGTAATAAAATATCACCTCCTCTTGAATACTCATGGTCACAAAGCCCCCACCACCTCATATAACAAGTGGTAGGCAAGGACATGAAGGGAAGAGCAAAGGTACTATGGGTTGCAATGGAAATTGCTACATGCACTGTAGAAAGCAGTATGGAAGAACATGAAAAAATAAAAGTACAGAACCACACAGGGTATGCTATGGATCCAAAAGAGCAGAGATAAACTCTTCAGATGTCTGCGCTTTCAGCTTCACCACAGCATCATCCACAACAGCCAAATCATGAGAACAATTCAGTGTCTGCTGACAGACAGGCAGAGGCATTCAGTAAATTTGGTATATGCAGATCATAGAATATTATTCTGCCTTAGAAAAGGACGAACTCCCACGCTTACCCATTGTGGTCAACACATACATGAAAGGCATTCCGTTAACAAAGCAGACACAGTGAGACAAATGCTGCCGCTGATAGATCTAAAATGCTAGGAGAGACAGTAGAAGAAGCACTGAAGGCTAAGGGAAATGGGAAAGTATCAACTTGGTTGTGCAAAGTTTCAGATCACGAGATCACTAAAGCACAGACACGTAGCATACAGCAGAGGGACCTCCAGACAGCAATGCTGTTCTGCGCAGTTAAAAAGCGCCATGAGGATGCTCTGTTGCTTTCTCTTCCCTCAGCCTGGTTATGATAATAAGGAAGAAGGCGGGAGGAGAGTTCTGGACGTGGTGGGCAGGGTTAGGTATAACTGTGAATGGCTCCAGGCTCCATTTTAAATCTTCGTTACATATGTGCTGATTTTTATGACAGCAGTACTTCAAAGAAATGCTTCTAAGACAGTATATGTACACCACATCGGCAACAATGGCATGTGCATGCAGAAACATTACCTGTGTCCTTTTCTGCAGGCCCTAAAACACAAGAAAAGAGAATTTAAAGCCAAACAAGCAAAGAAAACTAGCCTGTCTTCCTATTTCTAACTCGTTTTATATGTTCTTGGTCTGGCCTGAACATAAAAAAAAAAAAAAAACTTAATTTTTAAAAAATAAAAGCAAAAATAGGAAGGGTGGAAGCAGGAATTGAAAAAGCATATAAGTTCTTCTCAGTGAATAAGCAAACATTTTATGTTTTTGAAGTAAGACAGCTCTGGCAGTCCTTAGTGAGTGGATTGCTGGGATCCATTCTCTAGAATTTTGCCACATTAAACTCAAATGACTCCAGAAACGGAGAAAATGGTAGGATCCTTGCCACATCTCCATCTGGTCTTAGAACAGAGTTCTCTATGTACAAATAAGACACCCCTCCCCCATCTCCTTCACAATGGATTCTACAACTATAAACTACTGAGCTACACAGAGAACTCTAGTCTATCATCTTAGCAATGTTGCATAATGGTAAAATACTGCCTGAAGAGCAGGTAAAGGAAAGGTTCCTTCACTGAATTTTAAGTTGGAAACCTATTTGTATAGAAGACACTATCATGGCTGAAGGTCCCCACAAACTTTCCTCTGAGACAGTAGGAAGGTTTAATTGTCAGTTTATGTATCAGTTTTTTCAATCATGTTTGGAACACTCAATCTTCCCAAACATGAAAGATACCCACAGGAATATTCAAAAGTGAAAACCAAAAGTGTTCATCCTCCACTTCCTTCAAATGACCGAGTGCTCACTGCGTTTGCTTTAACACAACATGGTATCATAATTAATGATGTTAAGCTGGTAACTAAGGAGGTTTCATGTTGTTACTCTCGTGATATAATATTGGTTGCTATGGCGATGAGACGGCTTTTTTGTTAATCACTCAGGAGGTTGGTTATCACATGCTTGTTAGTGAGTTTGTCCAGATATGGAGAAAAAAACACGAAAGACATTTATCTTTTCAAAGGCTGAACATTGATAAAATTATTCTACTATCAATTAATTTATAAATTAATCATTCACTAAGCACAATCTAAAAATATTAATATTTTAATATTAAAAGTCTACAGGATGACTCCCTCCTTATTTTAACATATAAAATATTGAACAGAACACAAACTTTCCCTTTCTCTCTGGTACTGATAGGTTTATGAAAGAAGTCAATTTCATGATAATTTGAACAAATTAGAATATTTTAGAATATTTTTAGATACTTAGAATATTTTTCGATACTTGAGAGTCAATCAGTTCGAAAGATGCAAAAATAAAAGCTGATCTTGTGACTCTGCCCCAACTCCCCATCTACTTATCCCTAAACATTTAAAATATCAGTGTCCTTAATGAATAAAACTTGAAGAAAGAGAAAAAAAGTGCACAGTCCTCTCAAGAGGTCTAATCTTTCAAATGCATCAATACAGAGCACGCAATTAAAAGAGGCAGGAAGTTCTATGCGTTTGTTTCAGTCCTCACAATCAACAAGTTTATTCCTCTGCTGAGCGACAGTGCATATCAGAAAATAAAATACACAATGCTACACTGACACCAATCAGGGAAGAATCCACAGCCCATAGTTTAAATGTTAGACATACTTACAGTAATGTCAAAAAATACAACCCATGGAAACACCTTTTGGTTTCTTGAAAACTCAAAGTAAGAACAAAGGACAACTTAAGCACGGATCCTGGGTCTTTCATTCAAGCCAAGTCCCAGGAGGCATATTAAAGCAATGAATAGGAAAAAGCGCTTCAGTTCGCCAGCTGAGATTTTAATGAGACATTTCCCTTTGCCACCGCACAGGATTGTTCCGGGAAGGAAAGGACTTCTCATAGAAAATTCAGTTAACAGGCATTGTTGGCTCTCCCAGCCACTTCGGCAATTGCTCAGGGCACTGACCTTCTGTTTTGGCATATTCTGTGAGCCTGGTGTAATTGATCAAGGCAGCTTTCTCCAGACATTTTCTGACCACTTTCTTCACCTCCTCTGCGGGGATAGGAGTGGCGATGTCTTTCATTAAAACCTATAGAGAGGAGAGAGAAGCAGGGTGGGCAGAAAGAGATGAGAAGAGAGGCGCTGCATAAAATACATTCTAAAAACAAATTACACAAACCGCCCCAGACATGAGTGCTCCCGGGAAGGGGGAGGGGTCTTCGGTAACTTGTGGTAAGTAATGAGTCGGCACTTCTCAACTGGGACCTAATCCTTCAGTATTGGTTCCTCCTGTCTAAGCCTCATTTGTGCACATCAAAACCTCCCATAGGCCAGATCACCAGGATTCAGCATGACTGTCACTTTTCCTCCAGGGATCCACCACACCATTAGAGCAGCTGTCTCAGATCAGGGTTACAGTCCTTGGCACCAGCGATAAACAAAGTTTGTCATGTATAAGGTCCTAAGGTAAAAGTTCCAGGTCTTCTGAACATATTTGGAACACCGTAAGAAAAAAACTCCATTATGAATGGGCATAATGTTGGAGCATTGTAAAAACAACAAATAAAATGTTAGTAGTTGTTATCTGCTGAACTCTACAAAGAGGAAGGAAACTTCTGTGCCTTTGTGGGACGAGAGCTTAAAGAGAGATCAAATGCTAAGACACATGGAAACTTCTTCCATTTTAGAAAAATGGAAAAAGACAGAAGGCTTTTTTCTTTGCTGGGTTCCTAAACTGTGTGCTTGGGTATTTGCCCTTAACATGTTTTAGTATTAACAACGAGGGGGTACGGTTATATAAACAAATTCAAAAGGTAGTTTTAAACACTTTCTAAGATGCATTGACACTTTTCATTACAGCCCATGCTCTAAATCATTACTCACTGTTAGACTATTCTTTCCTGTATTTAATGTAATTGTCATGCTTTGTTTATATTCAAATGATGATTTCATATACATATGATAAAATGGTAATATAGTGTGTGTAAGTATTCTACTAATCTCTCAAATTGAAGTAAGTGACAAAGGAACCTGAAAACATCCACTTAAAACTTTATTACTTTTTCTCTTTACACTAATGCTTATACATTCTTGAATTCATTCTAGCATATAAGCATCAATAACCCCTGACAATATTTCAAAGATATTTAGACACGATTTTCTTTCTTAAAAGCAGCTAACTTTATCATTTGACAGTTCTCTTATTATCAGATTCAACTATGACATTTTTTTTGATACTTCAGAAACATATAGTATATACTTTGCAGCCTGAAAAAAATCTTTCTGTGCATAGTAAAATATGTATAGGCAGTGGATTATGAACATTATATTTAGTGGGATCTTTGCCAACATTTTCCATCAAGATGATGCTGTTTTATATACAGATGTATGAATTTTACTTAAGCTTCCCATGCTGAGAAGCTTCAAATAGTAGAAAGAGTAACAAGAAATTACAATGTGTATGTTTGCCCCAGAGGTGATGATTAGATTTAAATAGTATTTCATATTCTCTAGGAACCTGACCACTTCATGTAGGAGGAGAAATCTAAACCCTGGTTCCTGTCTATGTGTTTCATCTTCCTCTGGAACTCTTCCCAAGCATCAGAGGTGTTAAAAATTCACTTAGAGATTTTATGTTGTTTTTGTAACTTGAGAGTAATTAAAAAGAAATTTTTAAAAATGAAGAAATGGCTCCTAGCATTTCTCTTCCTATTCAGTAAGAGATGTGATTGGTGATTATAACAAGAAAGGCTTGCTATCACCCAGCCACTTGTCAGTGCAAGGCACAGGCCATCTCTGGATTACTACCTCTTCCCTGTTGCGAGGGAAGTAAGACTCTGCCATGGAAACCAGGACACAGAAAGGTTGTGCAAGGTACCCAAGATGGTATTCAGTTACAGAAAGTAAAGCAACTTTAAGAACTGATTTAATTATAATTGCCTTAAGGAACAGAACAGAATAAATACTTTAAAAAGCCAAGGCTGCAGACATCTTTTAAAAAACATAAAAATTCTAATAAAGACAGTCTTCATATGACTTCATTCCGTATACACAAAACAGGAGACAAGGGTATAACATGTATGAACTCAACCTATCATATGAAGATTTCGTTTTAATCACTGGGTCAAACCCTTATCTCTCAGGTTTTGAACTATACTTTTGCTTCTCTTTCTAATAGACATACTAAGAAGTAGCATAATTTCTAGAGTTAGTTTAGCAGAAATATAGATAAGATGAAGCCAACAAATTAGGACCAGCATAATAAAATCACATGCCATAGAGAATAAACAAAATTGCTTATAATTCAGATACTGAAGAGTTGCTAAAACCATATTCCTCAGCTGTAAGCATTTCACAGTATTTGGATAGAGATTCATAAACATGAAAAAAAAAAAACAGCCACAGAAATAGCACACTCAGTGTCTTAAAAATTATTTTTAGGGATTGTTTTAAAATCCTTATTTGTTATATATTTTTGTAGGGGAAATGTATTTCTAAGATTTGTGAGTTCATTGTTATATCACACTAAATGTGGGGACTGAAGGGAATGACACGCCCATCATTTTATAAAGTAATACAGACATGTGTGCAAGCTGTAACTGTTGGAAAAACCAGTGAATCTGAAAGGACAATAAGAGCCAAGTGTGAACTGGCCTGGAAAGTAGAAACAACTATCTCCCTTCCCTCCCCCCCAAAAAAACAAAACCCAAACAAACAAACAAACAAACAAAAAACATTTCACGAGATGATAGGTGGGGAAAAAGATGAGAAGATTAATAGTATCAAAAGAAAATGATAGCATGATATCAGGATAGCATGGTGGAGGAAAGGCTCAAAAGGAGGCAGTAGGGAGACAGTGGGAAAGTAAGGAGTAAGAAAATGTACACAGAGGAAGATGATGCAGTCAGCCCTGATGAGACCTGATAGGCTAGGGTCAGAGGGAAGGGGAGGAGGACCTCTCCTATCAGTGGACTAGAGAAAGGGCATAGCAGGAGAAGAGGAAGGGTGTGGGACTGGAAGGAGACGAGGGAGGGGGCTACAGCTGAGATACAAAGTGAATAAATTGATAGAAAGAAAGAAAGAAAGAAAGAAAGAAAGAAAGAAAGAAAGAAAGAAAGAAAGAAAGAA